CCTCCCCTCTCAACCTCTCTCTCTCTCTATGTTTGCCTCCCCAACCCTCTCTCTCTCTCTATATTTTTGCCTCACCCCCTCCCCCTCTCTCGCTCTCTCTATTTTTGCCTCCTCAACCCTCTCTCTCTCTCTCTCTCCATTTGCTTGCCTCCCCCCCCCCTCTCTCTCGGCAAAATCTGACTAATCTTTCTCTCTTAACGAAATGCATAACCGTCACTTGCCTTGAGAAAATTTATCCTCGGTGGGGACTTTTTATTTATCAAGCTCCGTTTTCTGTTAATTAGCGACGTGAAAGATCACTAATGAGGTGAGTTAGAAGGAGAATTTGCCTTCAAGATGAGAAGCTGAATGAGGGAGGCAAAGGAAGGAGCTTTTCTCCCCATTTCTTTGTATTTGACTCTCTGTCTCGGTCTGTCTGTCTGCCTGTCTGTCTGTGTCTCTCTTTATCTCTGTCTGTCTGTGTCTCTCTCTGTCTCGATCTGTCGGTCTGCCTGTCTGTCTGTGTCTCTCTCTGTCTCTGTGTGTCTGTCTGCCTGCCTGTCTGTCCGTCTGTCTGCCTGCTTGTCTGTCTGTCTGTCAGCCTGTCTGTCTGTGTCTCTCTCTGTCTCTGTCTGTCTGCCTGCCTGTGTTTCTCTCTGTCTCTGTCTGTCTGTTGATTTTTATAATAACAAAATATAATAATAACAGCAATAATTATGATAATGATAAGGATGGAGATGATAATAGTAATAATGATGATTATAATCATAATAATAGAAATAGTGTTACTGTTGATAATGGTAATGATTATATTGATAATGATAATAATAATGATAACAGTAATAATAATATTAATAATAATGATAACAATAATGATGACAGTGATAATAATGATATACAGAAATGATATGAATGAGATGCAAGAGATATATTTGACCGGTTTCGATTATATCTTTATCAGATATATTCGAAACTTGTAATGTGATAATGTAATAATAATAATAATGATGATGATAATAAAAGTACTAATAACAGCAACAATAATCATAGTCATAATAATAATAAAAATGATAATAATAATAATAATGATATAATGGTGTTGATTATGATAATAATGATAACATAATAACAATAATGATAATAATAATTATAATACCAGTGATAACGATAATTAAAATAACAATGATAATACCAATAATATTGATAATAATAATAATAATGAAAATAATAATAATAATAATAATAATAATAATAATAATAATAATAATAATGGCAATAATGATATGGATGATAATAGTAACAATAATGATAACCATAGGAATAATAGGAATACAAATAATGATAGTATTGATAGTAAGTATGTCATTAAAAAAATTCGTTAGTGCGACAACAGAGGTAGTATCATTTTCATGATCAAATTCATAAATTCTATTAATATCATTATCATTATCGCATTACTGTTATCACCGATATTATTAGCATTACTGCTATTAATATCACTGCTACTGATGACTTTGACTTGAAATTGATGAATGAAATAAAAGTTCAGCTTGGATGTGCCGTTGACGATGGAGCTTCCTCTGAATAAGGAAGAAATCGGTGCCGGCTCTAGTGACGATTTTCTCTTCTGCTGCTGCGTGGTCTTCGGGTTCTGTTCAGCTTTCAAGGGCACTTTTTTCTTCGTTTTTCTCTTTTCAGTTTTGATTACTGATGGATTCTCTCATTTTTTAGATTATTTGTATTATATGCACATACATAGACACACACACATATACACATGTATACATACATACATATATATATATATATATATATATATATATATATATATATATATATATATATATATATATATATATTCATATACACCCACACACACTCGCATATTTACATTCGCAGACTGATATGCACATACACACGCACATAGACACACAGACTCACATACTACTCACGTATTCTTGCCGTTTTCCGTCTTGTTTCCCTTATTCCAGAAATCTTATTCCCTTGGCCTGAATGTCTTCCCTGACTCCACATTCAGTCGTCCCTTTCATATTCCGTTTCTTTATGTCCCTTGTTCCATCTCTGTATTTTTTGACCCGCTGCTCTTCCTTTCATTCATTGCTAATTATTCCTCCCTTTCTTCTGCCTCACTCCGTCCATCTGTTGATTCGAACTTCCCTCCCTCCCTCCCCTCCACCTCTACCCTCCCTTTTCTCCTTTGCCCTCCTCCCTCCCTCCACCTCCCTCCTTTACCTCGACATCTTCCACTACCCTTCCCCTTCCTTCTTCCCCCTCCCTCACCCCCTTCCTCTCCGCCCTCCTCCCTCCCCTTCTTTCTCCTTCCCCCTCCACTACCCTCTCCCCTTACCCTCCCCCCTTACTCCACCCCCCCCCCTTCCATGCCCAGAACCTTTCATCCTGTGCAAGTCTCAAAGGGTATTCATGTCAGTACTATACCGCTTATTAGTAAGTCTCTTCCGGCCTTCCTCTTCCTCTTACTTTTATTCTGAATCTGAAATTTGGTCTTACGTTTACTCTCGTCGAGGAACGAATATCTTCAGAGTTTCGCGAATGTCACTTCTGAATGAGAAAAGGAAGAGAGTTCGTAGGAGAACACACACACAGAGACACGTACATATGTGTGCGTGTATATATATATATATATATATATATATATATATATATGGGGGTGTGTATATATATATATATATATATATGTGTGTGTGTGTGTGTGTGTGTGTGTGTGTGTGTGTGTGTGTGTGTGTATGTGTGTGAGTGAGTGAGTGAGTGAGTGTGTGTGTGTTTATATATTCCGATAATTAAATACACTTGCAGTATATAGAAAGTTAACATACATGTGTGTTTGTATACACTGTAAACTGACTATCTAGGTTCATATCTTCAACAAATATTTTTGATTTGAAACACTTCATCTTGGAAACGAATAAAAGCATCCAGAAAACAAGATTTAATGAGGGGTCTAAATCAAGTACCATATACACTGACGAAAAAACGAAAACAAAACAACTTTTGTACCATAGCGAGGTACGCACAGTACGAATTAAATCACGCACACGGATCCACATACGTATACTTGTGTACATAATACTTGCACTCATATGTATATTTCCATACAACGCTAAAGAGACAATACTCCTAATTGCCATTACTTTCAACTGACCTATTTATATAATAAAGTATCTACAATATCGTTGCACCCACACCTCCCACAACGCAGCAATATGCAATAATTTATTCACCGTGCTCTTATCCCCCTCCCCCTCCCCCTCCTCCCCTTGCCAAGAGCCCCCACCACCCCCCCTCCCTCCTTTTCCAAATATCCTACGCCTCAATCTTCCTCATGAAAACCTTTTTTATTCATGTCCCCTTTTCCGGGTCTCATTTCCCTCCCCCAAGATTTCATTTCATTACTTTCCTCATGAAGAAAGATTGGGTCTGCATGAGGGGTCATGACATTCTCCCCCCCCCCCTTTTTTATCGTTTATAAGGGATCATGTTAAGTCTCTAAATCTTAGTGTCGCCAAACCACCGTGCCAGGAAGTGTGGCGTGTGCATAACGTTTAGAGTGTGTCGTGTGCATAACGTCCAGAGTGTCATGTACATCTCGTCTAGTGTGTCGTGTGCATAACGTTTAGAGTGTGTCGTGTGCATAACGTCGAGAGTGTCATGTACATCTCGTCTAGTGTGGCGTGTGCATAACGTCCAGAGTGTCATGTACATCTCGTCTAGTGTGTCGTGTGCATAACGTTTAGAGTGTGTCGTGTGCATAACGTCGAGAGTGTCATGTACATCTCGTCTAGTGTGTCGTGTGCATAACGTCCAGAGTGTCATGTACATCTCGTCTAGTGTGTCGTGTGCATAACGTTTAGAGTGTGTCGTGTGCATAACGTTTAGAGTGTGTCGTGTGCATAACGTTTAGAGTGTGTCGTGTGCATAACGTTTAGAGTGTGGCGTGTGCATAACGTCCAGAGTGTCATGTACATCTCGTCTAGTGTGTCGTGTGCATAACGTTTAGAGTGTGTCGTGTGCATAACGTCGAGAGTATGTCGTGTGTATAACGTCTAGAGTGTGTCGTGTGCATAACGTTTAGAGTGTGTCGTGTGCATAACGTTTAGAGTGTGTCGTGTGCATAACGTTTAGAGTGTGTCGTGTGCATAACGTTTAGAGTGTGTCGTGTGCATAACGTTTAGAGTGTGTCGTGTGCATAACGTTTAGAGTGTGTCGTGTGCATAACGTTTAGAGTGTGTCGTGTGCATAACGTTTAGAGTGTGGCGTGTGCATAACGTCCAGAGTGTCATGTACATCTCGTCTAGTGTGTCGTGTGCATAACGTTTAGAGTGTGTCGTGTGCATAACGTTTAGAGTGTGTCGTGTGCATAACGTTTAGAGTGTGTCGTGTGCATAACGTTTAGAGTGTGTCGTGTGCATAACGTTTAGAGTGTGTCGTGTGCATAACGTTTAGAGTGTGTCGTGTGCATAACGTCCAGAGTGTCATGTACATCTCGTCTAGTGTGTCGTGTGCATAACGTCCAGAGTGTCATGTACATCTCGTCTAGTGTGTCGTGTGCATAACGTCCAGAGTGTCATGTACATCTCGTCTAGTGTGTCGTGTGCATAACGTCCAGAGTGTCATGTACATCTCGTCTAGTGTGTCGTGTGCATAACGTCCAGAGTGTCATGTACATCTCGTCTAGTGTGTCGTGTGCATAACGTTTAGAGTGTGTCGTGTGCATAACGTTTAGAGTGTGTCGTGTGCATAACGTTTAGAGTGTGTCGTGTGCATAACGTCCAGAGTGTCATGTACATCTCGTCTAGTGTGTCGTGTGCATAACGTCCAGAGTGTCATGTACATCTCGTCTAGTGTGTCGTGTGCATAACGTCCAGAGTGTCATGTACATCTCGTCTAGTGTGTCGTGTGCATAACGTTTAGAGTGTGTCGTGTGCATAACGTTTAGAGTGTGTCGTGTGCATAACGTTTAGAGTGTGTCGTGTGCATAACGTTTAGAGTGTGTCGTGTGCATAACGTTTAGAGTGTGTCGTGTGCATAACGTCCAGAGTGTCATGTACATCTCGTCTAGTGTGTCGTGTGCATAACGTCCAGAGTGTCATGTACATCTCGTCTAGTGTGTCATAATAATGATAGTAACAATGATAATATGAATAGTAACAATGGTAGTAATAATAATGATGATGGTATAATAATAATAACAATGACAATAGTTATAATAGTATTGATAATAATAGTAATATTAACAATAATAATATCAATGATAGCAATCATAATAATCCTGATAAAAAAATAATAAAGATAAAAATTACAACAACAACATTGCCACCACCACCGACAACAAAACATCAACAAAAACGACAACAGCAGCAACAAAATCAACATCAAAAGCGACAGCAACAACAACAACAACAGCAGCAACAAAATCAACATCAAAAGCGACAGCAACACCAACAACAACACTAAAACAACAATAACAACAACAAAATCCCTTTCTCCTATAAAACTATGGAAACCAACGACTCGAGAACATGTTTCAGTCAGCGGGGCCTTTATTGTTTAGTGACGCTCAAATAACAGTGAAATAGGGAGAAACAACTACAACAAAAACAACAACAGCAGCAACAACGCAAATAGCAAAACACATTCGTATTTTTGTATGATCATGTATTGAACTGCGGGTTATGTGGGAAGCTTTTTTTGTGTATTCTATTTAAATTAGAACTAGGTTATACTGTTTTTTTTTTTTTTTTTTTTTTTTTTTTTTTTTTTTTTTTTTATGAAAGCATATGGGACACACGCACGCACACGCACACACAAACACATACCCATGCATATACATGCACACATGCGCACATACATATATATACACAAACACACACACTCACACACACACACACACATATATATATACACATATATATACACACATATATACACAAACACACACACACACACACACACACACACACACACACACACACACACACACACATATATATATATATAGTAGCAACACGACCCCGCAACCTGAAGCTCTTAATTGCCAGACTGGGTCCTCGCTCATTGGACTGCGATCTCCCCTTGTTCGCTGTTGTGTGTATGTGTGTGTGCACATTATATATATATATATATATATATATATATATATATATATATATATATATATATATATATATACATATACATACATATGTATGTATGTATATATATGTATATATATATATGTATATGTATATACATTCATACACACACACACACACACACACACACACACACACACACACACACACACACACACACACATATATATATATATATATATATATATATATATATATATATATATAGGTATATATATATATGACTGCCGCGATAGCTCAGTGGTTAGAGCACTGGACTCTGACCGTCGGGGTTCCGGGTTCAATTCCCCATCGCGGCAGTCGTAAAAATGCCTGCGCTCTGACTGCTACCTCTAGCCCTCTAGTCAGGACTGCATGCAAGCCCCTTGCCGTAGGCTCACCCCCAGCCTTTAGCAGTTCAGCAGGGATATCACACGTGCCTGCGGCTTTCCCACTCTTCAGCTGAGAAATCGTCACCCTAACCTCAGGGCAGGAGGTACTTCGCTGATGGATGTGTCCGGTACAGGTATTGTGACACTTGCATCCAAGCTAACTGTTGGAAAGTCAACCTGATACAGCTGCTCAAAATGCTCAACCCAACGTTCATGAACCCCAGCTGAGAGGATTGCAGCCATCTGCGAGGGATTAGAGTTTGCTCAGGGCTCGGTAGGCAGGGCGAAGCTCATCTACCAAGAAATGTTCCTTGATAGATAGATAAATAGATAGATGAACTGTTCCTTGTCCCTTCTCAGCAGTGTCCGAGCCCTACTCGCCAAGGAATGTCTCCAGATCTATCTATCTATCTATATATATGCATATATATATACACATACATGCATGTATTTATGCATATATATATATATATATATATATATATATATATATATATATATATATATATATATATATATATATATGCATATATATATACACATACATGCATGTATTTATGCATATATATATATATATATATATATATATATATATATATATATATATATATATATATATATATATATATATATATATATATATATATTATATATATATATATATATATATATATATATATATATATATATATATATATATTAATATATATATATATATATATATATATATATATATATATATATATATATATATATATATATATATATATATATACGTATGTATGTATTTTGGTGCGCATATATATATATATGTGTGTGTGTGTGTGTGTGTGTGTATTTCTGTATGTATGTATGTATGTTTATATAGATATAGATATATATAAACACACACACACACACACACACATACACACACACACACACATATATATATATATATATATATATATATATATATATATATATATATATACATATATATATATATATATATATATATATATATATATATATATATATATATATATATATATATATATATACATATATATATATTGTGTGTGCACGCGCGCGTGTGTGTGGTTATGCACTGAACAGTAGTAATAATGCATTAGTAATAGCAACAGTAGCAGTCATAAAAGTATTACTGACAGTAGTAGTGACGCTAATAATATTGGGCCTAGTAGAAGAAGCAACAGCGGTTGTAGTAGTAGAAGTAGTGGTAATTGTAGTGACAGCTGTAGTGGTGGTGGTAGTACTAGAAGCAGAAGGAGCAGCAGAAGTAATAGTAATAATAGTAATATTAGAGGTAGTAGCAGTGGTTGCAATAGGAGTAGTTGCAGTAATGGTAGTAACAGTAACAATAACACTAATATCATTATAATTTGATCCTGAGAGATCTGCATCCTACTGTGACACTTAATCAGGCTTCTATACAAAATGCAGTAAGGTATCATGACTATTATACGGCCACCTATTAATGGTTACTGACAACAATTGCTGATAATGCCCCAT